CTGTAGAATAAACCACTTGAGAATTAGAACTGGCAGAATTAAAGATCCTCAGCATGGGGAAGAAGAATATTGCAGCAATTAGATGCAACATTTATATTACCATCAAAGGGAATTTCACAGCTGCTTCTCAGCAGTACTGCACTGAAAATGAACCCTAAGTCATAAATGGGCTTTTTCAAAAACAAATGCTCCTGAATATGCACATGACTTTACCTCAGCAAAGATTGCTTTCAGTTAGATTTGATGAGGGGACTTTCCATTGCACTATTCAGTCTCCTCCCCAAGGAAGTTCATTAAATATTTCTTACAGTTACCACGTGCTAGAGCTTGGCATCTGCCTCTATACTGAGGCAGGAATTGTCATCCTTGTCACTTGCCTATTCAAAAAAAGAAATTACTGCTCTATGTTAGGTCCAAGGACTTGTGGCAACCCATTTGGAAGAAGGGAAAGGACTTAGAGAGTCAAATCAAAGAGTGATGTACACACAAGAAAACTTTAATGTGCAGTAAGGGCGAGATCAACCCAGTTTCAAATTCCAGGATTAAAAACAAATGGCCAGATCTTGGGCTGTTGGAACATGTTGCATTTGGCAGAGAGCTTCTGCCTCAGAAATTCTTCTTGTCCTGATTTTTTCACTCCCTGGCTACAGCAGTTGCTGCCTCTGCAGATACACCAGTGTGGCCCTGCTGTAAACTAGATCTCTGAGATGACTCGGCATAAATCTGTCTTCTTCCTTTTCTTTCTCTTTCTTTTTCTTTTTTTTTTTCCCTGAGGTTATTTATTTCCAACCTAGATAATTTCAGAATGCAAACAAATAGCTGTACCGGGAGGAGGAGCAGTGAAGCACGGCACTGGGAACCAAGATGTTTTGTAACACTGCCCTCGTCTGACCGAAATAATTACCTGATGTCTTGAACTGTGCACTACTTTTCACCTCAGAATTAAATAGCTCGTACCCCATGTATTCCAATTCCACAAGCATTGCAGAGTGAGTAGGAGAGGGTGGGAATTGGAGACTGAGGCGTTTGAAACAACAGAGATGGTAAAGGCAGATGGGGGGCAAGTAACAAATTTTGTCTGAAAGACAAGAGAAAATTTCAAAGGAAACAAAGTTTTGTATAAGATGGTTGTGTGGAGGAGCATCAGGTGAATTGAAAGGGAGATGCTTCAAAGAAGAGAGAATCTGGAAAAGTATGTGTAGATATAAAGGGTGGCTGTGAGGCAAAACAAAGAAGGAAGGACAGAACAAGAGAGTGAAATGGCTCCATCCTGAGTAGGTCTGGAACAGAGGATTTAAGTCATTGCTTTAAGCCATAGCAGGGCTATAACTTCTCAAACAAGTGAGCTATTTGCCCTGTTAGTATTGAGAGTTTACAGACCAAATACTTGATCAAGCACAACCAACCCCAGTCTTTAGCAAAACAAAATACTCCAAATTTCTGTGACATTTGATGGACCATTATGGTAGAAACATGGAAACACAGAATGGCTTGGTTTGGAAGGAGCCTTAAAGATCCTCTTGTTCCAGCCACCTGCCACAGGCAGGAACACTTTCCACTAGACCAGGTTGCTCAGAGCTCCATCCAACCTGGCCTTGAACACTTCCAGGGACGGGCCATCCACAACTTTTCTGGGTAATCTGTTCCAGATGCCTGGTTAGTTACAACCTGTTATTTTGGGATCATCACCTCTCACCGCCTCTCTAACTTTGGTTAATATTTCAGCTCATCTGGATGAAACCATAGGCCTCATACTTTAAAAGGTTTGCCTGGAAGCAGCAGGGATGCTGTGGTGCCACCTCATGTCAGTCATTTACCACAGAAAATTCCCAGCTGCTCCTTTCTCTTTTTGTGCCAGCTGAGTCCCATTGATTTTCATATCAAGAGAGGTCGTGCACTGGAGTGGTGGGTGGGGAGGGGACACATACTGCATTGCCCTGTGCTAATTTGGACAACCCTGAAAGATGTTTTGACTTGTTCCCCTACCGTGAAAGGCCCGTCCTGTTCACTGCAGACAAACAAAATTGCTGTGCAGCAACCACCTCTGTTCAAGCTTGTGACTTGCCTTAAAACACAGCTGAAACCACTTTTTTCCTGCAGAGTCAGACCTTTATAGCTCAATCATGCGGGAAGGTTTCCTGCAGCTGTGATTTTTAAAGACTTCCCAGGTGCTTTGTGTCTCCTTTTCAGTGCTCACAGAATCTATATAAGGTGGGGAGTGAGCAGGTTTCTCTTTTGCTGTTTTTGGTTGTATGTGTAGCTGTTTCACTAAAAGGCAATGCACCTTTTGGGCTAAGAGATGCAATTACTGCAGCTTCCCTCTGTCAGAAGAGGCCTCACCTGGGAGGACTAGTCCCTGAAACAGCAGGTGAGAATAAAAGCAGCTCAGGGTTATTCTCTTTTTTGTTTGCTTGGCTTTGCTTTTTGTCTTTTCACCATGAACCTGCCTGTGGGCACCTTCCTTTCAAAACAAGGGGTGGATAAAAAGGTTGAGGTTTGCTTCAGTAAAAGGAAATTACTGGGTTTGAGTGAACGGTCTGATGATTTTGCCTGTCTGTTGGTGGCTGCAGGAAGGGGGGATGCAGCCAGAGGAAGCAGATGGACATGGGGAATTCTGCCTTTGGTGAGGAGCATTAGTTAATATGATTTGAGAGGCATAGGTGCAAAAACTGGTGAATGACCAACTAGGGTAGATTGAAGAGAAATGCCACCCAGCAGCGCTTTGTGCAGGTTCAAACTCTGACCAGGTTTTAGTGTTACTTGGCTCACAAAGGTGAGGCTGTGCTGGAGAACCTAACAGGATTTCTGTAGGCCTGTTCTGGAGCGTGGCTGGCTGTGACCCTCATTGGATATACCACCATCTCTGTTTCCAAGGAATAACTTCTTTGAATTGTCAGTGTGGAGCAGAAGGGAGGAGCCTCCTCACTAACTTGTACCAGTAGATTCTTTAAGATTTGGGGTGGGGGTGTCCTCAGGCACCACCCTGTAAACTATTGGCTGCTCCTCAGCCAGCCCTGCCACTCCATTCCAGAAAGCTCTGGCCTCCAGCCTGGCCCCAGCTCACCCTGGCAGGGGTCTAGACTCTTAAATTCAGAGTATTTGTCTTTCACTTTTCCAATTTAGATTACATATATTAGAGCTTTCACTTTTTTACTTTAGTTTATATAGATTGGAGGAGGCTAAAACACAAGTTGCAACAGGTATTATGGTAATGTGGCTGTCACATGCTTCCTATGTTTCTTTGCCATTAAAATCTGGCATCCATATATTAGTGCACGAGGGCTTAACAGGCAAAGGGAATGTTGAAAACACTCCATCCTCAATAAATACCACATTGAGGTTGTAATTGTGCCGTATTCAGGGATCTCTTGGGTGAGAATTCCTGTGACTGAGTCTCATTTGTAGAGCCTGATTCTTATTTGACCAGTTTTGTGTTTGCTCCTTTGGATATTATGCATTGAAATAGTGAATGGCATTGCTACAGAGCTGAAGGGGTTCAGGACTTGTGGTAGTTTGCAAATACGCCTCTCAGTGGATCATATTAAATAAATACAAAAATAAATAAAATTCCAAACTCCTTAGTGGTCACTATGTCTAGACCAGTGTATGAGCTTGCTCTCTCCACCTAGTCCTGTTTGTCCACTTTCTCACCTGGGATGCTGCTGCCTGAATTTGAGGCAGTGAACTTTGAGTCCTCTGTGGAAGGGCATGTCTTTGTGCTGCAGGTTTAGATGGTGCCTTGTATAATGGTGTCCTCACCTGAAGGGTCATAGTGAATTTCTGTTAAAATGTTCACAAGGCATGTGGATGTGGCATTTGGGGATATGGTTTAGGGGTGATTGTGGTGGTGCTGGGTTGACAGTGGGACTGGATGATCTTGAAGGTGTCTTCCAGCCTTAATGATTTGGGATTCAGTGTTTCTGGGGTTGCCCCAACCCAGGTGCAGCACTGTTCACTTGGCCTTGCTGAACCTCATGAAGTTCTCATGGTCCCACTTCTCAAACTTGCTCAGGTCCCTCTGGATGGCTCCATCCTTTATTATTTCACCTGCCCTGCTCAGCCTCCTGTCACCTGCCAACCTGCTGAGTCTGAGCTCGATCCCACTGTCTGTGTCACTGGTAAAGACATTCCAGAGCCCTGGTCCCAAGGCCGAGCCCTGAGGGATACCCCTCATCCTTGCCCTCCCCCTGGACAAGGAGCCACTGGCCACAACTCTCTGGCTGCATCCCTGCATCCAATTGCTCATCCTCCGAGTAGCCCACCCTCCAAACCCATGGCTCTCCCAGTGGAGATCAGGATTTCGTGTGGGACTGTGTCAAAAGCCTCCCAGGGGTCTGGGCACACCAGGGCCTGCAGGTCTGGGGGCTGCCCAGTGCCAGGCAAGGCCTGTTCCAGGTGGATCCAACCAGTTCCAGGTGGATCCAACCAGTTCCAGGTGG